CAGGTGCCGGGGTGGGCAGGGGAGAGCTGCTGCCTGGGAGAACAGTGAACCGCCCACCGCCGGGCACTGTGCTGATCAGCTCGCCCCGCCCCACCCCGTGTGCAGGCGCCTGGTATTTCTACCCCTTCGGGCTGCAGAGCCTCCACCCCGCCGTGCTGGCCTGGTGGGCCTCCAAGGGCAGCGCTGGGCCGCAGGGGGTGTGGGAAGCCAGAGACCCCTCCCCACAGCTCCAGGTGAGTGCCCTGGGCGCCCAGGCGCAGGCCTGTCCTCACCCCTTCCTCTGTTCTCTGAGCAGGGTCTCTGCTTCTCCAGGCACAGGTGTGGGGGGGGAGGCCACAGTGTGACAGCCGCAGCTGAACCTCTGCACCCTTTGCAACCCCCTGCCCCCCCCAGGGAGCAAGCACGGTGGGGACAGGGCTCCGCCAGGCTAGCCCCGCCCCAGACAGCCCCCAGGGCAAGCCTCTTCCTTCGGGATCCCCCAGCGCTGTCACACAGGCTGTGCTTTGCTGCCTGCGGCTCACAGCAACTCCCAAAAGCCGGTTCACAGCTACAGGGCTGAGCTGAGAGCCTCGCGCCTCTGGGCCCCTCCCTGCAGGCGGCCTGTCGCCTCACCTGTGCTTTCCTTCCTGGCCCTGCCAGGCTGAGCAGCGCATTCTGTCCCGGGTGCACTCCCTGGAGCGGCGTCTGGAAGCTCTTGCCGCCGAGTTTTCCTCCAGCTGGCAGAAGGAGGCCATGCGGCTGGAGCGCCTGGAGCTGCAGCAAGGGGGCGCTGGCGAGGGTGGCCGCGGCCTGGGCCAGGAGGACACCCTGGCCCTCCTGGAGGGACTGGTGAGCCGCCGCGAGGCTGCCCTGAAGGAGGACTTCCGCAGGGACACGGCCGCCCGGATCCAGGTGGGCGCAGGACGCAGCGCGGGGCTTGGGCAGCCACCGAGTCGCAGTTTGCTTCTCTTGCCCCGTCATGAGCACTGGAGCCTGTGCGGTGCCCGGCAGGATGCCTGCCACCCGGCAGACGCGCAGTGAGGGCTGAGGGCATCTTGCCTGCTTGCGAGAAGCACAGTAGCAGACAACTGGGTGGAGCTTGGCAACACACAGCCCCGGTTGGAAGCGGGACCACACTGCTCACTGGCCCCAAGGTACTGCGAGCACCCCCCGGTCAGAACTCAGTCTGTCCTTCATGCCTGGCAGGAAGAGCTGGTCGCCCTGAGGGCAGAATTCCAACAGGACTCAGAAGCCCTCCTCAAGAAGATCGCCCAGTCCTCGCAGGTCAGTGGGCCCTGACCCAGTCCCGAGTCTGCTCTTGGATGACAGAGGCTCCCTGGGCGCTGAAGAGCCTGCTAAGCCTGGGGCGAGGGGCTGCGGGCTCCTGACCTTGGGCTTGACCTGGGCTGCCCCGAGCTGGCTCTCCCAGGCCCGGAGAGCAAGCTTGAGGCTGGGCGCCGCGGCGCTGGGGACAGCGCCCTGCACACGAGCGTGCCAGACCCGGCGTCACGCTCTCCTCGGGACCTCGGCCAGGAGGTCCATCTGTGCCGGACCCACTGGGAGACCCAGGCAGGGACGGGGTCCAGCACAGACCCCGCACTTGGAAGCAGTCACCCCAGCCTGGCATTTCTCCCATCTTTCCGCCACAGGACTCTGAGGCTCGGCTCCTGCAGCTGAAGTCCGAGTGGCAAAGGTAATGGGCACAACGGGCGCTGCCATCGGCCCACCAACCCCCCGCCCTGGGCTGGAGAACTCTGAGGGAGTCGCAGCCGAGGGGGGCACCTGCTCAGACCTGTGCTTGAGTGCAGTGGAGGCTGGCTGGGCTGGGCTGGGCTGGGCGCCGTGAGGGAGCTGGGGCTCGGGGGCTCCTTCCGGATGCACCAGCTCTCCGCAGCACCTCAAAGCTGCCTCCCGGCCCCAGGCCTGCCGCTATGGAGGTGCCAGCGTCCGAGGCAGCATGGGCTCTGAATCTGGGCTTTGAGGGGAGCAGGGCCTTGCGTTCCCACGTGGGGGCGGGCACGCACTCGTATGTCCAAAGCTGACTTGGGGACACCCTTGTTTTCCCTGGCGTGGCCCTGACCCCTCAGCAGCGGTCCCAGGCCCAGTCCTCTCTCTGCTGTAGGATGACCCAGGAAGCGTTCCGGGAGAAAGCTGAGGCAGAGCTGGGGCGGCTGGAGGCGCAGCTGGCGGGCCTGCGGCAGGAGCTGGCCGGCCTGACCCTGAAGCAGAGCTCGGTGGCCGACCAGGTGGACCTGCTGCCGCAGCAGATCCAGGCCCTGCGGGACGACGTGAGTGTGAGCTGCCCAGGCCCTGCCGGACACCTGGCCTCTGGGCGGCCGGTCCTCGGGTCTGAGGGAGCCTCTGGCCGTTGCGCCCGGCAGTCCCACGGGCCCTCTCTCGGCTTTGCCAGGCGTGCTCCCGGTTCCCTCAGCAGTGGGGCGGAGTCACCCGCTCCTCGGTGGCCCTGCCCCGCAGCCTGCTCGCCTCCTTCACTCTCCCCCAGCGCCCTGCCGGAGGGCCTCCTGGCCTGAGACGTGTGCTTGCCCCTAGGTGGAGTCTCAGTTCCCTGCCTGGGTCAGTCAGTTCCTTCTCCGAGGTGGGGGGGCACGCTCTGGGCTCCTTCAGCGAGAAGAGATAGAAGCTCGGCTGCGGGAGCTGGAGAGCAAGATCCTCGCCCACGTGGCCGAGGTGCAGGGCAAGTCGGCAAAGGAGGCCACAGCCAGCCTCGGGCAGGCGCTGCAGAAGGAAGGTGTGATCGGGGTGACGGAGGAGGTGAGGACCGTGTGCCCCGGGAGTCCCGGGAGCCCCGGGCACGCGGACACACGCCCTGCCGTCCTT